AGCTCACAGCAACCTCCAGCTCTTGGGCTTAGGCGGGTCCGGGCTGGGGATTCAAACCCTCCACCTTAGGTGTACGTGGCTGGCGCCTTAGCCGGTTGAGCTATAGGCGCCAAGCCAAGGACATGATTTTTAAAAGAAAATGATTTCCAAGATAATTTATAGATAAAGGTTAAGACACTCCAATAGGCAAAAGAAGAGTAGACCTAAAAAACCCACTAAACTTGGGGGGCATTCTCAACTAGAGATAGCTGAGTGTAAGAGTTTTTAGTAAACTAAGTTAAGCAGTCATACAGAAGGCCTGCCTCCTCACATAAGGTGAGCCTGAAAGAAGTCGGGTGGAGGGGATAGGAATGCTTAGAGAGAATTAAAATTTAAAAATCAGCATCTTTTGTGTCTTGAAATCCATCTTCCTCTACAAGGTTCAACAGGTAGGTATGCAGGATAAAGATGGAACAGCTCTTTTGTGCATGAACTATGCAGTTTAACTTCCAATAACTCTGATTTGCCCTTCCTCCAGAAGAAAGAAAAATAGGGTCAGAGTAGAACCAAATTCTAATGTTGTATTGATTATTCCTCTACTCCCACTGAATCATCACAGCCTGAGCATGTGCCTTACAGTCAACTTGAGTCCACATTTTTTATCTGCAAAGTTCACAGTAGTGTATTTAACAGTCCAAATGAATAAATGTACAGTTAAGAATTGTCAGTTCACAGGGCATGATTAACTTTTCAAGAAAGCTTTTAAATGATAACCAGAATTTCATGAAGGAACTTACTAGGTTGTACTCAATTCTAAGAAAAGATTCTGAAACCATCTTTGATTATGAAATTTATTTTTATTTTAGCTGATTTCCCATTAATTCACACTCACCTGTGCAGCTTCCACACTGCAACTGCTTCCAATCTCAGAGTACAGGTGAAGCAGGCAGGCAGCTGTAAGGTCAGTGGGCAATGGCACAAGTGGAAATGTGCAAGAAACAACCTCAGTATCTTGCTACAGAGCAGAATGTTGTCTGAACAATCTTGCACAGTGATGTTTTTAACCATGCATTGCAGATGTGAATCTCTGATTGTTTGGTAGAGCTTTTATTTAGTAACAATGATTTAAAGTTTTTTATTGCTCCCTTTAGCTTTCAAAAGTGTTCTAATTTGTATGTTACATCCTTACTCTTTTTCTATTACTACTCAATCAGCCTGGAACTCTCCTGTTCATCTCTAATTCTGGCAATCTTACTAGTTCTTTATCCTTGCATCCTCTTTTTGGAGTCTCTCATCCTAAGTCCATCTCCCTGTAACGTCTCTACAATGGCATAGAACTTAATGTGGATTTGGAAGATCAAGATACCTTTAGCTAAAGCCAGTATTTACCTCATCAGGGAAAAGCTAGATAGTTCTCCCAACAAGGTCAAACTATTTTCATTATCTAAGACATAATGGTTACTTTCATTAAAAATGATTTTAACTGTTTCTTTTAAATTTTGATTACAGTAAAAATCCTTAATTATTAACCACATAATCAAAAGTTCCTGAAGTCCGCAATAAATTTTAAGAGTTTAATGGAGTCTTGAAACAAAAGCGTTTGAGAACAATTATGTCGATTATTGCTCTAGCCACTTTCTAGTGATCCCTATTGGTAACTGTGCCTAAAGCTGCTCTGCTTGTGGTGACAAGCAGAAAGAAGTACAGGTAAATTAGCTCCCCGTGGTTTCATAACACCACAGATTCTCTGAAATTACTCTTAAGAGGTAGAGTCTGATTCCTCTCCCTCTGAATATGGGCTCGGAGTCATGAGTTTCCCCTGGCTCATGCACAGCTGTCTGTCTGCACACCATCAAAATCCCTTAACATCATGTAAGAAAGGAGTCTAGCTACTCTGAAGCCTATGTATTGCAGAGACCATATAGAGAATGAGAATTACCCAAGAAACCCCAGGTGTTCTAGCCCCCAGCTATTTGATTAAATCACATCAGACACGTATGTAAGGAAGTCTTCAGATGGCTCCAGCAGCCAACCTCGAGATCCACAAATAGCTGTAATAATAATGGAGGTGGTTGTTTAAGGGGGAGGGTTGTTTTGCAGCAATAAAAAACTAGAACATTTCCACTCAAAGCATCCCTCAGTCAATAACTGATTACTTGGGTGGGATAATTCTGAGGAAGTTTCCCAGGGTTTTCTCATATGCAGTTCTCACTGAGGGAGCTGACTTAATTAAGACAGCTTTTACTGACTGTCTTTTCTTCCCTAGCTTCCCACCTAACTCTACACCTCTGTTCCTTGTACCTGGAAATAAATTACTTATACATCTGAGTCTTTAGTCTCCTTCTTAAAGAACCAAAACTGAGAGGTCACTTACATTAAAATACACAAAAAGATGGACAGATGCGACTAACATAAAAACTGAAAATCCTCAAAAGACACCAAAAGCAATGTTTATAAAAGGAGGGGAAACATATAGAACCTCCTTAATTGACCTAATTTTCATAGACAGGACACATACCCTAACTATGTTATCAGTACAATAAGCTTAGTTCCTTATGTTGGGTAACCAATTTATTACAGTCCCTTGTGTGATCAACATATAGAGGTTCTACTGTATTTGTAGTATACAATTAAAGGACAATTCTTTTCTTTTTTTTTTGAGACACAGCCTCAAGCTGTTCCCCTGGGTAGAGTGCCGTGGCATTACAGCTCACAGCAACCTCCAACTCCTGGGCTCAAGCGAGTCTCCTGCC